TCTGAGTTGAGCTCTTTCTCCCATTGGCCAAGGCTGTTGTCTCTGCCACTGATGCCTGTGGGGAAGCACCTTGTCTTTACAGCATTGGTTTCTCATGGCCTCCCCTTCCCCAGTCTTTACCCTGACAGGTGTTGGACCACAGATCTGCCTTCAGCTTTGCACATCTCCAGACCCCAGTGCCCTAGAGAAAGGCCTGTGGAATCATAGACGGACAGGATCTGCCTTCCCAGGAGCTGGGGTCAGGGCTTGTCCCTTTGAATTAATGAGACACATCCAGGTTTACTCATCATCACAGGACCTTTACCTTGCTTTTCGCATCCAGTCATCTCTTCATCCAGGTTCCTGCTCTTCCTGGATGCTGGGGATTCTTTGCCAGTAGCGCCTCTCAGTGGGACTCATTTACAGTCAAGAAACTTTGGAGTTTGAATGTGACTTGGACTTCCTGAGTAGTTTCCTCAACTTTCTCCCAGCCTCCAATGATCTCAGCACAAACTCATGGGAGAGGTCATTAAAGTGGTGCCTTGGTCTAGTGCTGTGCTCCTGTGCTGGGCCGGGCTCCAGGGATGGAAGGAGCTGATGGCAAGCAGGCAGCACTCCCGAGAGACAGCTCTGCCCAGGAGCAGCTCTTGTGCCCAGCGCAGCAGGGCTGAGGGCACTCACAGTCTTAAAGCTTAAAGCTACTCAGGATAGAGAGGATGACTTAAGAATTCACCGGAGGAGAAATCTTTGCAGTGCTTGAACACAGTAAGTCTCTGTATGCAAGGCAATGAAGCTGCAGCTCCTGGAGGCATCTACAGAAGCTGGACCAGCAACGGTTGATGGGATCTGTACGGAGGAGGCTCTTGTCAGTAAACTCTGACTGGCTGTGAAGGTGGGTGTCTGCTGCCTGTCGGGGTCAGCACTCAGCCTGCCCGGGGAGCTCCCCACGGTGCTGGGGGAGAAGATATGGGGAGGAAGGTGGGACCCCAGCAGGGCAAGTTCCTGCTGCTGCTGAGAGGGTGCTGCATGTGTCAGGGCTGCGCACAGCTGTAGATAAATCCCATAATGAGGAATTCCTAATGTAGAAGTCAAGGCAGAGATTTCCTGAGATATAGTTTTCCCTTTCTTATTCCACTGGTTTATGCAATGAGAGAAAAGGATAAACGGGAAAGGAGCTCTCAAGGTTGAAGAAGTGATTGAGTCTCCTGAACTGTGCAAATCAGTAGGTCTTCTGGGAGCCTTGTAACGCGTCTTCAGCTGTTCCTTTCCCTGTGCACAGCACCAGCATCAACTTTGCTGGACCCATCAGGGTTGCTCTACCCTTTTCTACCTGTAAACAGCAACATTCCCCAGCCAGTGCCCTGCAAACCGGAAGGGTTCTGTAGGAGAGTGCACAGATGGGTTTGTGAACAGGGAAAAAATGTGGGACAGGAAACACCTCCCAGGGTGAGAGTCTCCTGGCAGCAGAGATGTGGTCAGGGAATCAGAGGAAATTAAACCCAGAAAATATTTTGGGAAGGAGAATTCTGAAATCTCCAACTGGTCCCCTCCAGGGTAGAGCCTTTCCTCTGAGCAAGACTTCTTGTCT